GTGGGAGGGGTGAGGAGGCTGTCCACTTGGAATGAATGGTTTGAATATCAGAAAGTTCTAGTCTGGAAAGCATGGAGTCAAAGACCAAGGCTCCAGCCTGTGAAGAGCACTCTCCTGGTTTTCGGGCCCACTGCTTGCTGTCATCTCACGTGGCAGAGGGGAAGAGAGTCGGGTCTCTGTTGTCTCTAGCAAGGCAGGAATCCTATTCTGGAAACCCAGCCATTAGGATCAGTTTTAAACCCATGTAGCTCCCCAAAGCCCCTATCCTAAGGCCATCTTCGCAAGTAAGGGCTAAAGTTTCAGCAACTGAATTTTCGGGAAGGAAACAATTCGGCCCACCACACAGGCATTTTCTCATTGGTCCTTCCTAACTCCATGACAAAGGTTCCAGTTAGGGTGAAGAATCTTAGGAAGATAAATATGGGGGCTGGAGAGATGGCTCAGAGGATCACTGACTGCTCTTCCAGAGGACCTGGGTTCAATTCCAAGCACCTACATGGCAGCTCATAGCTGTCTGCAACTCCAGTTCCAGGGGACCTGACACCCTCACACAGACAGACATGAAATAAAAACAGCAATTCACAGAAAATTAAAAGAAATACTTATAATAAATGTGTCCATGGCCACTCAGCTGTGTTTCAACAAAAGTTGGAGGTCTTTTTGGGGGGGTAGAATGGAGTTCCAAGACAGGGTTTTGTTGAGGATATTTGTTTACACTGTGTGAAGATGTGCCACTGTGATTGGTTTAATAAAGAGCTGAATGGCTAACAGCTAGGCAGGAGAGAATAGGGAGGGCTTCGGGGAAGAGATAGGAACTCGGGATGAATCTAGGTCCATGAGAGATGCTAATGAGACATTGAGGAAGTTGGATGTACACATTGGAAGAGAGGTAAAAGCTACATGGCAGAATGTAGATTAATAGAAACACATTAATTTAAATTATAAGAGCTAGTTGTGAACAAATCTAAGATAAAGGCCAAGCTTGTATAATAATAATAAGTCTCTGTGTCATTATTTCCCAACAATGGAAGTACCAAAGAAAGTCTGACTATAGGGATTCTCTGTGTAGCCTTGACTGTCCTGGAACTCACTCTGTAGACCAGGGTAACCTAGAACTCAAAGATCTTCCTGCCTCTACCTCCTGAGTGCAGAAATTAAAGGCATGTGCCACCATCCCACACCACCACTACTGGACTAGTTGGAGGACCTGACACCAGAGACATTCCTAGGAATTTACAAGGATGACCCCACCTAAGACCCTAAGCAATAGTGGAGAGGGTGCTTGAACTGACCTTGAACTGACCTTCCCCTATAATCAGATTGATGACTACCTTAAATGTCCTTATAGAACCTTCATCCAGCAACTGATGGAAGCAGATGAAGAGATTCACAGCTAAGCACTGGACCGAGCTTCAGGAGACCAGTCGAAGAGAGGGAGGAGCAATAATATGAGCAAAAGGGTCAAGACCATGATAGGGATGCTGAAACAGCTGACCTGAGCTAGTGGGAGCTCACTGACTCCAGACTGATAGCAGGGGAACCAGCATAGGACCAAACTAGGCTGTCTGAATATAGGTAACAGTTGTGAGGCTTGGGCAGTCTGTGGGGTTACTGGCATGGGGACCAGGATTTATCCCTAGTGCTTGAACTGGCTTTTTGAAGGGATCTCTTGCTTAGCCTAAATATAGGGGGGAGGGCCTTGGTCCTGCCTCAAAGTGAAAAAAAAAAAACAAACTAGAAGTAAGGAGTGGACTCCTCACCATCTGGAAGGATGAGACAGGAGGATTGCCACAAGTTTGAGGACAAGTTCCTGGCCAGCCTGGGCTATGAAGTGAGATGCTGTCTCACCCCCACACCCCCCAAGCAACACCTGAAGTTTTGCCTCTTGGAGTCACTGAGAAGTTGCTCTACTTGTTTTGAGCCATTGTTCTGAAGGTAACTGTGGGCATGAGGAGTATGAAGAAGAACTCAACAGGACAGAAACGTAGACAGGGGTGTGTACTGGGAGCACAGAACTCCTGAGTAGAGGGGGGGTACCGAAAAGATTGGTTCACCCTCAGGAAAGGTGGAGGAAGTAGTCTGGCAGGGAACCATCCTGGCAGTTGGGGGTGGAGCTTGGAATCATGATGTCAACTATTATAGAGAAATGCTTGACTCATCTTTCCTCACCCTCTTGGCCTTATTCCCAGGTCCCACACCCTTTGTCTGACACCGGTAGGTTTTTCAGAGCAGGACACAGAAGAGTCGAGAAGAAAAGCAGCTCCTCTTTCCACCTAGGCAGTGGGAGTTAAAATGATCCCTGACGAGTCCAGGAAGAGCACTTCTCCCACACAGTGCCAGTGTTGAGAGTGAGGCTCCTGCAAGTCCTCCGATGCCCAAGTGACTTCCAGGGTTCTGCAATCATGCCAGCCATGAGACATCTCCATTTAGAAAATATAGAGCTCCTCCTCCAAGGCCGGGTCTGGGGAGCATGCTGGAGAAGAAAGGGGCTGTTAGGGTTTCCTCCGTCTGTCCATCTGTCCTTGGAAAGTTCTCAGCTGTGTGATCAGCTGCTGTCTGTACTGACAGGTGAATTCTGGGTCACTCACAGCATGAAGGGTATGGACCCTGGTGGAAACAGGACTATTTCCCTCCCCCTTACTCCTGTTCCCCCCTCCTGTTTGCAGCCAGTCCTCTGAGTGTAGCCACTGGTCTCTTGGTTAATGCCAAGGAGGAAGTTCAGGAGCTTGCTGCAACTAATGGGTTGGAGTTGAAGTCCTGAGTGGGGCCATTAAATGCACATGGAACGAAGAGAAAGTTCACACAGGATCTCTGAAACTAGGGATACATCACAGACACCAAAACATTACACAATGCGGAAGGATTGTGGTGATCTTCATAGTGGGGAAGCTGGGGAGAATCAGGAATGCTGCCCATAACTGTTCACTACGTGCCAGGCTCTCTTCGAGCGTTCCACATGTATCAGGACAATCTGCCAAGTAGCGGGGGGAGGGGGAGGTACTGTTGTCTTCATTTTATTCTAGAGACAAGGGTCTATTGGAATCCAATCTGGCCTCAAACTGGGTATACGGAGTGACTTTTTTTAAAAATTTTTATTTTAATTTTTATTTTATGTGCACTGGTATAAAAGTGTGAGATCCCCTGGAACTGGAGTTACAGACAGTTGCAAACTGCTATGTGGGTGCTGGGAATCGAACCCGAGCCCTCTGGAAGAGCAGCCAGTGCTCTGAACCTCTGGACCATCCCTCCAGCCCCCAGAGCGACTTTCAATTGCTGACTTTCCTGCTTCTGTCTCCCAGTTGCTAGGGTTTTGTAGATGTGTACCATCACATCATTCCCCGCCTTTGTCTTCCTGTTACAGAGAAAAGACCAACAAGTTAAATGACTTGTCCAGCGTCACATAGCAAGTCATAGGCTGAGAGCCAAGGTTGGGATTCAGAACTACCAAACCAAGCTGCCTCCTTTGGAGACCTTGGCTTACCCTCTGAACACCTGACAGAGAATTACAATTGCTTGCCTTAATGACAGATGTTACTGCCAGGGACTACACGCACACACACGCGCGCACACACACACAGCTGGCTCAGAGTTTATTGGAAGAATGACTAAATCTGGGAAGGCTGGTCTGGCACATCAACTATTTTTCCCTTTCTAGCTCACTGCCCATTTTCTTCAACTCTTCCCAGTATTTAGTTGTTTGGAATCTCTCACCACCCACGTTAACCTTTGTACATTTTCTGCTTGGACAAAGACCCATAAATGAACTTCAAGGATGTGAACGCTATGTGGCGAACAGTCTGCCAGACACTGGATCCGGTACCAACTATTCTTTCCTCCCCTGTCCAGTGATAAACTCTCATTACTCCATTGTCCATTTTGTCCTTAGGAGTCCTGTCCCTGTGTTGTTTGTATGCCTGGCAGACTCTTGATTATGAAACCAAGTCCAAGGTGACCCATCCATTAAGCCAACTGCTCCTCCTCCCCCTTTTCTCCTTCTCTTCTCCCCTCCCTCCACCTCCCTTTTTTCTCCTCTCTTGTGGAGGAAACTGGTAAGGTTTCAATGGAAGAGAACAGAATATCTTTCGTTAGGGAGTTTAGGCATAGAACTACATTTTCTTAATTGGAACCCGGACAATGTGCAATATGTCAACTTTGTTTTATAGTACGATGGTGAGATTTCTTGGTTTCTTTCCTTTTTTTTTTTTTTTTTAAATACCTGGGACTGTACTTGAGAGGCTACAAGGACAAGATATTTGACTTTCGAGATTTTTGGAAAATCGGGTAGAACTGACGAGAACACAGTGTTCCCTTGCTCTCAAGTTGGGAAAGTCAACCAACTTTGGTTCGCATCGTGTCCTAAGTACACAGACAAAAATCGAGATCAGATGATTAAGCCGGCAGTCCCACGCAAGAGACATTGTCTCTTCCAGCCAGGGGCTTCGCCCGCGGTCGTTGTTTGGGCTAGAGATTATTTCAGCTTGGCTTTCGGAGTCGAGTCGGGGTCATCGCCCTGGTCCTCACCGACACTGCCTTCCGGGTCGCTGACCCGGGAGCCTGGGGGCGGGGCCGCGCCGGGTGGAAGCCGAGGAAGAGG